AAGCTTATGAACTATCTCAAGGGGAGTTCTCGTCATTTTCTCCACTTCCAACCTCTGCATTCTCTACACAGTCATGTTTGGCGTATTTCTCATCCTCCTTGCTTCCTGATCCTGTAAGACTGCCAAAAGAATATTTGAATGTTTTTCACAACATCTGCTGTACATGAGGGTGAAGGTTTGCTTTTAGTGGAAGTTTTTTTTAGTTTGCACATGACAAATACAATTTACAATAGACGTTTGCTGAGCTATAGAGTGGTAAAATGTCTACTATGCATTTGCTCTCATTTTCCAACCCCAATTGCCTTCCAGCCTTTGCTGTTCGAAGACACAGTGTTCTTTACATCAGCTACATGACTTCCTCCACAACCACGTTTTAGTCAACATTTGTTTTAATATTTTACAAATACTGCCAAAGCAACCAGTTTAACATCTGGAAGTGATCCCCCGGGCTTGCATTTGCTGACTGCCATAATTTACTTTATAAGTAGTTCCCATGGAGCGGGCTCAAGAGCACACTCAACATTAAAAAATCCATCTTCTCAATTGTTTATTCCATAGAGACACCCAGTGATCAAAGATGCTATGGACTGTATAGAGTTAAAGGTTGGTGTCATAGGAAGAATAGGATTCTCTCTTTCTCCTTGTCCTCCTTTCTCGCTCTCTCTTTCTCTCCCTCTTTCAGGACCAAAGAGGCATGTAATCAAGTCATAGCTCAAAAATGCAGCACATGTTTTCCATCAGCACATAAGCTGTGGACTTGGTCAAATGCACATATTTGGATATTTAGCTGTAAAGTGAAAACACCCTATTTGTTTTAATATAATTTATGTGGCAACAATGACTGGAACCAGTTTTTAAACAAAATACCACTAATTCGTTTTTAAAAATAGAGTAGAATAGTACGCAGGCTACACAACCTTATAACAAAAAAAAAAAATTTTAATTAAAGGTATAATGCTTGAAAGACGATCTTCTGTTTGGGCCAGAACAAAATTACAGTGTTTCTCACGTTACTGTGAGAAGTAATTTGTGTTGATTTGTTTAACCAAGTTTAGGTAAAATTACACATTATCCAAAAGTTTAAGGGTGTTTAAACTGTTCCATGTGATAACGCTCAGTTGAAAAGATTTGTCACATGGAGCTGACAAAGAACAGAACAACTTCACTTGGACTTCAGTTACATTTTTCTGCAAAACATGTATTAATTATACTTACAATGTATTGATTATAATATTAATTATATTAGTTATGACTTGTTTATAGGGCCTATTCAAATGCAAACATGCAGTTTAGCAGGCAATTTAATGATAATGTGATAAAACCACCCAAAATACATAGTTTAAGAGAAATACTACCAGAAGAGAATAAAGTTATAAAGTAATTTACCTGAAGAACACCAGCAAACATTAATACTTCTTAGCCCAAGAGTGCACAGACTGATGTGAAAAATAAAATCGCTCTTTACAATGGAGAAATATTATAATTTATATTTTTGCTTTATTATGAAGGAAGATACTACAATAGTTTTTTTTTCTGTTGTAATGATCATTTAGCACAAGGTGGCGCACTGTCTGTAAATCCACGACAATAGGCTTTGAATCCAAGAGGCACATGTAAAACATATTGTACAGATACGCATATATCAAAATCTGCTAAACATTAAAAATCAACAGAACCTGAGAAAACACTCCTCATGATTGTTTTGTCTGGTGACGTCATTTAGGGAAAAATATACGTCACATGTTTGAAATGATCTAACCCGGGTATGACTGAGGTAATAGCACTCAGGTGTTTTCTCGGCTGGGTGGGTTTTTTTTTTTTTCCCCTGCATGTTCAGAGTCAGTGCCTTTCTCATAATATCCTCACACATCTGCTCTGCGTTAAGATGCAAGATGTGTTCCTTTAGAGTCATGTGAGCGCAGTGCTAGAGTTGAAATGGATTCAGCAGATGTGAGAGGAGGATATTGATGTGGGTAGACAACAAATCTAATGGTGCATGTTGAAGAGTTAAGAGTAAACTGTCCCCTTTGCCCATCCTCATATGTCACAAACCTGCAAGTGACATCACCGTTATTCATGGAACAGCATGGTAATCACATGGCATGACTAGTGATACTTGCTGGTCAATAGTACAGCCAAATCTCTAACTTATGGCATAACTAAAGATGATTGCTGGTCAAAAGTACAACCAAATCTAATGCAGATGTGTGCAACATCCTTTAAAATAAAAGACCAATTAAGCTCCAATTTTTCAACAATTAACTTTACATTTAAGCAGCTTTATATTCAAGCCTTTCAAGTCATCTTTAGATATATATGTGTATACCTATGTAAACCTCTTTGTTAAAAAAATAACAATAATAATAATAGGACGAGTCCTTACACAAAAATCAAAAAGCCTCAGGTTTAGCATCAGAATTAGCTTCATGAATAAACAGCAACTTACCACTGTCGTCTTGGCATTTCACAAATTGTAAAAAAGCCACAGATAAAGCCAGAAACAGGACAGTCCGATAAGGCTGAAAGATCATCATGCCCATATCAAAGACATGAGCTGTTGTTGTGTGCAAAGTAACCGGGAATAGGAAGGAAAAAAGAGTCCAGGTTATTGCTGCACCATGAAGACAGACTGAGTTTTTCCTGCTCAGAGCAGCAATCAGACCCAGCCCCACTCTCTGCTGCCTCTTTTTTAACAGCCTCAAGTAAGAAGAATGCTTCCAACCCTAATTTTCCTCCCCCTTTTGTCAGTGCTCTCTCATAAGCATCCACTCTGGCTCTTTTGAATTACACTGCGTGTTCCTCATGGCTATTCTTTAAAGATAGTTTGTTCTTCGCCAATATTGTATATTGTAACAGTAATTCTTTGTTTTTGGTTATCATTCACTGATCAAATCTGTTTGGCTTGGTAGAGTTGCTAAGAAGGACAGTAAACTGGCTTTATGACAGTCTTAACTGCACTGACTTTACAGCAGTTGCTCATAGGCTCCTTTTTTTACAAGGGAACAAGAAAAAAAGTTTACATCCCATTTGTCTTGGGCTGCAGATGACAGATCTAAACCCCTAGTAGGAAAACAAGAGGGAAAGACAATGGAAAAAGGTAAACTTTGGTTTAAAAAAAGCAAGTCATTTTCTGGCGAAGGAGTTTAAATTCATTGTTGCCCGTTCTTCATTGTTTCAGTGGTAAATAGTAAATACTAGACAGTAGGATCAGCTAAACATTCCATTGGTTGGTCAGAAATTTTCTACAGTTCTACAGACTTCCACATTTTATTAAGTGTATTTCACATGCTCCACACATGGGTATGTTACTATGAATTCACAAACATTTATGTAAAAGATGACCAAGATCTTGCATGTGGTTTGGCTGAATGCTTTATTTGTCTGTATGGTGTCAGGTTTTGCTCTGTTCTGTAATTATTGCAAGAAAAAAAGGATTTTTATTTGATTTGAAATTCAATAAAATTGTATATAGTGCTATAAAGTAGAAGAAAACTGTCATTTGTAGCATGATTTATACTACTTAAGGTTATCAGGGGGTATTTGATTCAATTATCTCACAATGTCAGGAGCAATACTAAATGTAAGTTAAAGTATGAATTAATATATTTACTGCTCTGTGCCACAATTGACAATGAACAGTAAATATACAGTTCCAAAAAGGAGAGAGAATGCTTTTTTTTAGCCATCCTTTACATATTGTAATTCGTCGGCTTGAATGTTCTGAACGTGTTTTAAATTGTCTCTACTAGCTGAAAGATATCACTGATTTAGATATCCTGAGGAATCACACCTGTAGCTGTGACACCTCTAGACTACAATAAGGGTCAGGTAAGCGGCCTGTGCATTTTAGCCAATCCGAAAATTCTCCCTGCTTTTTACGGGTTCAGATTTACTGACGTCAGGTTGACTGAAATATTTTTGGAGGGCAGGGTTTTAGTGAGGGGGCATGTGGGATTGGGGTAGTGGTCTAATTCTTAGCAATACAGCTGAAATTGCTTACAACTCTCATGATAGCAAGTTCCCGCTATATACAAATATCAAATATATTCAGATATACCTGGTATATATGGATGAAGCATACAGTATAGATGGATATGCTAGTGCTATTTATGATATGCTATTTACTAAAAATAACTTATTTCAAGTTGTCAGAAATGCAGATACATTTTATGAAAAAGCAAGTGTTTTCACTACTGATTAGCTTCTTATTTTCACTCCCTCATCTCATCTGAACCATTTTGGCAGACAGCACAGTACTGGGACGCAGTTGAAGTTGTATTTGAATTAGTCATGCCATGACTAATTTGAACTCATTGCCAAACTAAGCTTCAAGTTAACTAGCATATTCATTAGGAAACTGATTCTAAATGTCAAGTGGTAGGTAATAAAAATCCAACTTGAAAGGTTTACTAGATGTAATACAAATGCTGTTCATATGTACTGGAAATATTTTCCACCTTTCGGGAGTAAAACCAGCTATGATTCTCTAAACATTAGAATATCTTGCATAAGGTGAACTAGAGGACTTAAAGTATTCAAAATAATGCTTGACTAATGTTGTATTTGAATCCTCTTCAGTCTTTTGAAAACTTCTGAGGGAAAGGGAAGTTGAAGAAAGCTAAGCAGAGGAAAAAGAGAGGAAAGTTCCAGAAGGAGTTTCGTCCAATCACTGTTCTCATTCCGGTGACTGACTTTCCTAAGAGCCAGTGTTAGCACCACATTCATAAGTCCCGCCCACAGGCTGCGCGGGCGCTGCTGCTTTCAGCAGAGGGAGGGAGGAGAGCAAATGAGACTGCAGTACGGAGCGTTTCTCCAGAAACTCCCTGCGTTAAACATTGATCTAACGATAAATGTGATTGAGTGCACTTGAAAAGTGAAACTTTCAAAGTTGATGTGTCAGCCTGAGGTGTTGTCGTCAGAAAGCGAAAGAAGAGTGAAGTGAAAATCGGAGGAGTATAGACGGAGCGGATCCCAGAGTGTTGAAGCCCTATGATTAATCTTCCTTGTGAGAATATATCATTTTATTCTGCTCTGGCTGGGGTTTTTTTCCTGTTTCTTTCTATGAACATGATCTCCTGCGAGAGTTTCCTGTTTTGTGCCAAACGTAATCCTTTGGTGTGGAATCATCTGGGTTCGTACGTGATTACATGTGCACAAATGGCCAGCTGCCCACGGACCTTTGAAATGTGATTTGAAACCATCAACTGGTAGGAGAATTCCAATTTTCCTTATTCTTTTGGACACAAAAGACTGATACTTCGAACTGGTTTGATTTTTGCTTTTGAAACGGAGAGATTCATCTTTTGAACTTGAACTGATTGAACGAGTGTTCGACTCTCTGAACTGAATCATTTGATTCACGAATGCATTAGGCTAACCGAGACTTGTCATTTGCACTTATATATTGTTGCTCTTTTGTTCGTTTTTGACTGCTTTTATTGTCCTCATTTGTAAGTCGCTTTGGATAAAAGCGTCTGCTAAATGACTAAATAAATAAAAATAAATAAATATCTGGCTGCTGTGGGTCCACTGGCATGGAAGAAATCAGCTCAGTTTAGTCAAACACACCAGAAGTCTGTTGCTTTGGGATGTGTGTCTGTAAAATGTACAGCAAGTGTGGTTGTCTTCTGTGTGGTCTGCGATTTCTTTCAACACAGTGTCAATAAGTCATCACAAATATATACACTACTGTTCAAAAATTTGGGGTCAGCATGTTTTTTTTTGTTAAAAAGTAATATTTTTATTAAGCAATTATGCACTCAATTGATCAAAAGTGACAGTAATGACTTTTACATTGTTACAAAAAAAATCTATTTCAAATAAATATAACTTTGTTCATCAAAGAATACTGAAAAAAATCTACAAACAACAATATTAAACAGCACAACAGTTTTTCACATTTTATAACTATATACAGTATGTGTATATATATGTATTTCTTGAGCACCAAATCACTGTTCAAATGATTTCTGACACTGAAGACTGGAGTAATGACTGCTGAACATATGGCGCCAACACAGGATTAAATGACATTTTAAAATGTATTAAAATAGAAAACAGTTATTTTAATTTGTTATCAAGAACTTATCAAGTTCTATCATGTAGAACTTTTCATTACCTGATGGAACACACTTATAGTGTTGTAAAAATGCAAGTGTTTACAGAGCTTTATTTTTATTTTCAATACTTTGCATTTTAAAATCAACTTCTAAATGTCTGTTCAGTCGTCCCTATAACAGATGACACAATTTAACTTTGTGGTGCTTCTAATTAAGTGATAAAAAGCAGTTGCAAATGTTGTACAAAATAATTATCACCACTACTCATTTGCACCAATAAAACGTGCAACTCTTTGTTTTACTACCAAATTATGTATAATATCTAATTATTATTAATATTTAACGTACATTGGAAAGGTTTTCGTGACCTCTCGCGAGATCTCGGCAAAAAGTCTCGCAATTTATTTCCACAACATGATGCATGATGGGATACACTAAGCCTCAAATACCGCTCCAGATTTAGGGTGCTTCTCAATATCCCTCCTCGTTTCCTTGTTCCTCCATCCTATGACCCGGAAACTGATCGAGCTCAGCCATCTTGAAGGACATCTCAATTCTCTAATTGCACCATGAGGAGGCGAGGATCGAGGAGTGAGGAGGCTTCCTGAGGAGCTATGAGCGAGGAGGGAACACCTGTGGTCTCTTTGGTTTCTTACCTCGGTCTCAATGGCTGCGTCCGAAAGCTCTAAAATGCTGCCTTCGGAGGCAGCATTCCCAGCATTCCAAGAATCCAAATTCTG